ATTTGAGATGAGTATGATGGAAGAACTAAGCTTCTTCCTTGGTCTTCAAATCAAACAAACTTCAGAAGGAATTTTCATCAATCAGTCCAAATATGTGACTGACCTTCTGAAGAAATACTCTCTCTCAAATTCATCATCAATGAGAACACCTATGGCTACAGAAGCTAAGCTATTTGCTGATCCATCAGGCAAACATGTGGATGTAACAACCTACAGAGGCATGATTGGATCACTCCTGTATCTAACTGCTAGTAGACCATATATAATGTTAGCCACATGTCTTTGTGCAAGATATCAATCAAATCCTAAAGAATCGCATCTCTCTGCAGTCAAGAGGATCTTTCGATATCTTAAGGGAACTCCATCATTGGGTCTCTCGTATCCAAAGAACTCTGGCTTTGATCTAATAGCCTACACAGATGCAGATCATGTAGGTTCCAAGCTTGATAGAAAGATCACGTCTGGAAGCTGTCAACTCTTGGGGGACAAGCTAGTAAGTTGGACATCCAGAAAACAAAATTGTGTCTCAACATCCATAGCAGAAGCAAAGTATGTTGCTGCTGCTAGTTGTTGTTCACAAGTTCTCTGGATGAAGACTCAACTTACGGACTATGGTTTCCATTATGACAAAATCCCTATCCTCTGTGACTCCAAAAGTGCCATAGCAATCTCTGCAAATCCAGCTCAGCATTCCAAGACCAAGCACATCGATGTAAGGTACCATTTTTTTAAAGACAATTTGAAAAAGGTAATATAGAAATGTATTTTGTTCCAACTGAGATTCAACTTGTTGACATTTTCACAAAAGCTCTTGATGAGAAAAGATTTTTATTCCTAGTCAGCAAGATGGGTATGCTGAATCTCACCACTTAAAGTCACTCATTAGCTTGTAACCAGAGATCTTCAATATCTTATGGTTATGCCTATAAGTGATATATAAAATTTTAGCCATAAACTCCAAGTATCCTAAACCAGCGCCTCTAGTCATAAAGAGCAGAGCCTCTGGCAATTTAGATTTACTTCGAGTAATTTTTGGCAAACAATCTCCATCACCTTTGGAACCAAAACTCCTCTGGTCCAAAGCAAATACTTAGTAATTTCTACCAAGTATTCTCTTACTTATCAGAGCCTCTGGTTATATAGACCAGAGCCTCTGGAATCCAATTCTTTGAGTCTACATCCTTTTGTGTCTCAATCTTGGACTTAAGCATTCATTCATTTCATCTTTTTTTTTATTCTTTGGACCCAGAGCCCCTCTGGTTCAAGGCATATACTTAGTTTTCATTCACTAAGTATTCCCTTCACACCTAGAGCCTCTAGTTCCAAAGACCAGAGCCTCTGGTTTCCAATTCCTTTGAAACCAGTGCTATCAAGTTCCCATCTATGACTTGGTATAAACCACACCCCTTCATACTCTTTGTAACCAGAGCCCCTCTGGTCCCAAAGAGTTTCCCTCTTCTCCCTACATCGAGTTTTTCAAGAACTGCATTCTTCTTCCCTCCCTCACTCTTGCTGACACCGGCGTACCCATAAAGTACGTCCAGCAATATTGGCAAACGTGTGAGTTTGACCCAGAAAGCCACGAAATAATGGGGGACATGGATGCACCTAATGATATGATATAAATTGCAGCATTTCATCCAGAAGCATGCGATAAAGACTTAAAGATAAGGATGATCCATCATACCATGAATGACAGCTGGAGATGACAAGTCAACAGCTAGATTTCGAGTTTATCTTAATTACTAAAGTTTATCCATAGTTTAGATAATCATTATCTGTTATTATAAGATTAGCTAAAAAGTCTCATTAGATAGTTATCTTCTTATTAGGATAAATAGGTGATTAGGACTATTGTAAAAAGAGTCGCTTTTACATTTTTCTTATTAATAAAGTGAAATCTTTGAYRYTCAAGATTKTTCTTATTTGTTCATAATTTCTTCTTGAGTGTTCATCACTTTGTTCATCAAATCACTATAATTTGGTTGTTATTAACTAGATTATTAGTGTTATTGAGAGATATGGTATCAACACAATCGCTACACAAAGCCTCTCAAGGAAGAAGTACATTCTCGTACTCGTTGATGAATACTCAAGATATACAATGAGTTGAATTCGTCAAGATGATATCAGACGTTCCTGACCTCTTCATCACGGTGATGAAAAAGCTTCAAGTGCTTCTACAACGCACACTCATCAAAGTTAGAAGTGACAATGGAACAGAATTCAAGAATACCAAAATTGATGAATATCTCATCAGTGAAGGTACCTCTCAAAACTTTTCAGCAGCCAGAACTCCACATTAAAATAGAGTTGTTGAGCGAAGAAACAGAACCCTTATAGAAGCAGCAAGGACCATGCTTGCTTCATCAGAACTACCAATTTCTCTCTGGGCTGAAGCAATCTTTACTGCATGCTTCACCCAGAATCATTCAATCATCAACAAGAGGCACCAAAAGACCGCATATGAACTCATCAACCAACGACATCCAAAT